TGAACAACATAAAGGATTATGGCAAGGACAAAAAAGGGAGTAAAGTAGAAGTAAAGCATGATCTGTTCTGGAAAATAAAAAATACACTCTTGTTTATAATAAACATTATTAATGTTCAGTTCGATTTCAGCTCAAAACTACTTTAGGGAGCTTTGTGTTTTGTAGTCCTGATGAATACAGATAAATAAATAAAAATCTGCTGAGCATTTGCACAGTTTGGTCTTTAGGGAGATTAGTAAACAAATGTTAATTTCTTTCTGGACATAGAAACTTGAATTGGAAAGTTTTATTTTAGAGGTGATCAGGGTAAATGAACTTTAATTCTTAGTAAAATCTTAATAGTTCTTAGTAATATTCTGGTGGCTTCTTAGTAATCCCTTGGTAAAAACACATGACTTGGAGGAAATGAAAATTCATTTCCACTGACTCAAAGGACTCTTGGCAATTAACTTAGCCTTTGGAGCAGGGTTAGTGCAAGGTGTGTGTGTCGGGGTGCGATGGTGGAGGCAGGAAAGGCAGCTGGGATGGAGGAGTTGGGAGTATGATTTACTGCCTGTAAAATACCTCGAGGCTTTCAGAGGCAAAAAACTTCACAAATACAGAGTTCCAGTGCTACTGTTGAGGGTTATAAGTTATAAACAAATGTTGTCTTTAGTTGGGATTGAACTTTTGATTTCTCGATTTGGAGCGTCTCACACTGAAGATGAAATCTTAGTGTCTTTTAAGAGAGACATTTTGTATACAAATTCAAGTTATGACTTGACAAGGAAAAGAAATCTGATGGAAATAAAGTTCTTCAAATATAGGTGTGTTGTCAGTTTGAAGAGACCTTTCCAGTGTTGTTCTAGACTGAAAACAAAAGCTCTTCTTCACAAAGAAAAAAAAAAAAAAAAAATGTATGAATGTTTCCTTGCCTGCCAACCATTTCGTCAGATCACAGAGAGTAAAATTTCAGTTACTGTTTACTGAAAAGACTCTCAGGAAATGCTCGAGGAAAGGCAGTCTGAGTTCCCCTTCCTGTGCTTCCCCAAAGAGCAGAGCTGTGGTGGTTCTAAGGTGGAAGGTTTCACACACCTTTCCGAGCTGTAGCTCTTGGTCTGGTCAGCACTGCCCATCCAGGAAAGTCTTCACATAGGCATAAAGCAACTCCCTCTGTATGAAACAACTCCAGGATAAATCAGTTCCTGCCATATATCTTGATCTGAAAATTGGGGCGTGATTTCGACATCATAGGCTTAGTAAAAATTTAAGAAGAATTGAGGATATGTGTATGACTTAATTACTTTGACCTGCAGGAGCTAAGGAAAACCTCTGTGTCTCTCTCTGTGAATCTTCCTCCTCAGTGCACCCTTAAAATTACAGACACATTATTCATGACAAAGATCTGTTTAAAATATTTCACGGTTTTCCTTCCCTAAGCTTAAAAAGGGGCCCAAAAATAAAGCAGATTTTATTTCAGCTTGTTTTATTTTTTTGTTAATTCATTTTATTTCAGTATCTCAGAGACACAGTTGCTCCTGTCCTCGAGAGGCTTCTTAGTATTGCTGACTACAAATAACCTAAAGTATTTTTGTCTTTTTTTCTCAGCATGTGCCATAGCAGTATCAATGTTTTATAACACAGGCAAAAGTGCCTCATACTACGTGACAGTATTTAGCAGAGCAGTAGCTGATCCTGTTATTTAGTCATGTCCAGAATCTGGCCCTAAGTGAGAATTGGCAGCGATGCTGCATGAATGATTTGCTCTCTGGAAAATAGCTTTTCCATATAATCTCTGGGAAAAATTTTACAGAAGGGGAAAAAGAAAAAAAAAAAAAGTGGCTTTGTAACTCGGTGCAAGACTTTTGCTCACAGGATAAAATTTGGTTTCGTGGTTTGACAGTTTTATTTGAATTATTTCACCAAGGTCACTTGTATTTCTCGCTGGAAGTTCAGTGCTGACACAGGCGATGGGCACATCTCCAGCAGCCTTAGAACAATTCTAACAGCACTGAATTCGGCACACAAAGTAGTACTCAAGTGGCCTCACTTGTGTTTTGGGTAGAGCATAGCAAGAATTAAAAATAGAAATTAATGATGGTGAATTTGTGTTTATTTTGAATCAGGCTTTGTTCTCATCTGACTGGATTATTAGTTTAATTTACTGGGTAAATGATTTGGTCTTGACTAACCCTGACTGAGAAGTCTCTGGACACAGTGTATTGATCTTTGCTGAACTCCCATGCTCCTGCTGTTGCTCCTTATTTTAGGTGCATCAGACTGGATCAAATTTCTGCTCCTCTTTTTTCTCCTTACAGACATTTATTTTTCCACTGCCCAACTGAAAGAATAATCCCCTTTCTTTACATTTGAGGAAAAAAAAAAATCAAGCTGTTTTGTAACTCAGCCCTTTGTAAAGCTGCTGGAGCAAACCTTTATGAAAAGGCACATGCACAGGAGGAAATGTTCATTTAACATATCACTTTGCTCCATTTTTGCCTGAAAAGCCCCTGGAAGCAGAGTGGGTTTTCTGGGAACTATCACACAGTGAAAGACTTCCTTCTCCAAGGAGCATTGTTACGAGGATCAGATGTTACTGAACGTTGGAACTTGTTTTTTGGGGGGGGAAGAAGAAATGTTTATTCCATTTGAACTTGTTTTACCTGGCATGAGCATTGCTGTTGGAATTCATCTCAAGTACAGTACTGCTGCTCCGATGTGGCTGATGTTTTTCAAGGAAATCATAGGCCTAAAAATAGTCTGCATAAACAACAGTAAGAGGTTTGTACTTTCAGTTCCAGGTTTTAGCAATATCTTGTTGTTATTTTCTAATTTTCAGTTTCCAAAATCCATTAAGCTGATTAGCTGAATGTTTAAAAACAAAACAAAGCAAAAAAAAAAAAAAACCCCAAAACAACACCAAAAAGGCACCACCTGGGGAACCCAGCACCCTGTGTTATGCTTGGATAAATCCATAGCAAAAGGCTGAGCCACTGCAGTAATCACCTTGGGATCTCGATGAACATGTTCTGTTCTGAACATTTTTCAAGCATCCTCCAACGTGTGAAATTGCCACATGATTCTGGAACTGCTCTTAGGGGAGAATTTGGGGTGGAAACCCTCGTGCTAGTTGGAACTCAAGGTTGTTGTGTGTGCTTAACATCCTCTCTGTACTGGACAGAGTTTTATTTCTTTCCTTTGGATTAAAAAAAAGCAAAATAAAATTGCTTAAAAGCCTGGAAGAGATGAAGGGGAAAAAAAATCAGCTTGCAAACTGCAGAACACAGTTTGTCATCACTTTATCCTTGTGTGTCTGTCCCCATGTCACGTTTGGTGATGGAAATTGATCTTTGCCCTTTGCCTCACGTTTTTTGGTGCATGTTTACTAAGATTCATTTAAATGCTTAAAATTCTGCAATCAGACTGAACAAAAATGACTTTCTGTGTGTCTCTGAAACAAGATTGGACTGCTGGTGAGAAGGACGTTACACTGAAGCTGTTGTTGAAACATGTAATTTTTTTTCACCTTCTTTGCTGCTGGTTAGGTGTTTGAGGGCTGAAACTGGGGCTGAGAGCTGTACTGGTGTTACTGGGGTTGGTTTCTGATCTGTGATCTGGGACTTGGCTCCTTTTCCCCCTTTCCACTGGTGCCTGTGACCGTAGCTAATGCACATTGAGAGAGGAAGGGAAAACTCAGCTTTGCTTTGTAATTTCTGCTTCAGAGAGAAAACAATTCAGGCAAAGGAATTTCAAAGGGAGCCTGAAGTCTATTGGTTTAAGAGTGATTAATCATTAATGTTAGGGGTAAAGGGTCAGTGCAGCCCTGCTGAGTACCTGGTGTGGTTGGGGGGCAAAGCACCCTAAAATCTGAGCCCTACTTTACCACATCTTCAACTCTTGTAGTAACACCAGAGTTAACAAATTGGTTCCTTCAGATTTTTGCTCTTTGAGTTGAAGTGAAAGATAAAAGATAATTAGGAGTTTACAGTTAATTGGTCAAAAAAAAATAATCTTTAGGACTCCAGGGTAAGACTTTAGGTAATGCCTAATGGATCTGAATGAAATATATCTTTTCATACCCGTTTAGCTTCCTAGTGCTGCTGCTAAAGATAGAAACTCTGATACAGCAATCAGCAGAAAAATCAGCATTCCCTCTCAACTTGTGCTGAAATCGGTTTAGGGATTTCATTTATTTAAGGAATTATAGTGGGGGAGAAGTTGTTTAAAAATACTCGTGTTGCTTTCAGGAAAATTCCATGTAGGAAATCGATTTGAGTTATTGGTTATATTGTACAATGAGTGCGAATAAATGCCCCCAAAGCAGCTGGCGGTGTGTTTGTGCGGAGGGAGGGGCTGGGATGGGATTCCCAGATGGATTTCTGACATTGTGCCCCAGCCCTCTGCTGGCTGCAGCTGAACCACGTGTGGAGCCTCTGCGGGCTGTGTTCGCAGCTTTCTGAGAGTCTGGGAGCACAAAAACGCACCAAAACTTACCTGGCAATCATGCTTACTAAAGCATTGAGTCCTTTCTCTGATTTGATGATTAAAAATGTCTCTTTTTTTTTTTCTTTTTCTCCCCAGTTTCCTAGACAAGATTGACATAGTCAAACAGAATGAGTACACCCCGTCTGACCAGGTATGGAAACCTTCTGTAAGGAATTACACAGTTCATCTGCCCCTTCGTCTTTGGGGATAAATATCATTCCTTTTCCAGTTGCCATTGGTGGTACTAATGCAGCTATTGCCATGCACTGTGTGTATTTAGTATTCCAACCAAAATTGCTTTGTCATTTGGATTGTGTACATACACACAAACATCTGTGAAATCTGATTTACAAAGTGACATCACTTACAAGCCTTAGCTCACACTTCTCTGGCCCTTAACTCTCCAGTGCTGCCCCTGGTTTTGCAGCACAACATCCACTAAATAAAAGGGGTTTATTTCCATGGCTGGATCTAGCAAAAACTGTGAAATATCTGCGTTGACTCAATGACTTTCCCTTTATGCTCTAGGATCTTCTCAGATGCAGAGTTTTGACATCAGGAATTTTTGAAACCAAGTTTCAGGTGGATAAAGTAAATTTTCAGTGAGTATCCTTATTTTTTTCTTTTTATTTTGCTCTGTTTTCCATTTTTTCAGTACAGCTCAGACAAATACATGGGTAAATTGCAGGAGAACCTACCATATAGTCATTGGGACCACTGTATTTCTCAAGTTGATGTTTAATAGAAAGCAAGTATTTAATGATTTTTTTTTTAAAATTTAGTAGCGTGGCTTGAAAATGAAGTGCAAATTAGTGTCCAGTTTCAAAGAACAAAATGTTTTAAATTTATTTTCGCTAATGCATTTTCTGAGTATTGAGTTCATGGCTAATTTATACAGTGATATGTTGGAGCAAAAACTTCTTACATATCATTCAAAACCAAACCAAACAACAAAACCAACCAAACAAAATACACAACTCAACCCAAAATGTATTCTGACTCAATTTATGCTTTTCCCTCAGTATGTTTGATGTTGGAGGGCAACGAGATGAACGCCGGAAATGGATCCAGTGCTTTAATGGTAGGACTAGAATTTATGTTTGCTGTATAAAACACTTCTCTGCAGAATTGTAATGTCCAATCTTCATTTCCTCACTGTCTCAAAGTCATTGTCTCTTCCATGTAACTCCTTAGGGAATGATCTTAACAGTCACACAGGATGGAATTTTTCTTGACTTGTAAACTTCTGTAACTGCATAAAACATCTTCAGGGAGAACATAGGTGGAGAGGAATTCAAGTTTGATAACTTCAGCTTGTCCATTTTCCTTGCCTTCCCTTTCTTCATTTAATTAGGGTTTTTTTGATGGTGGTTTTGTGCATTATTTGCAGCTATGTGAGTATAAATTCCAAGCAATGTTCTGTCTTCCAAGTGGAGGTTTACATGTGTATGTGCCTATGCAAAGTGCACAACAACAGGATGATTAATATATGCATAAAATCACAATACCATAATTTTGCAGCCACAGTGCTATGTCATGGGGCTTCTTCCCATCAGCACTGACCCAGCAATGCAGAATGAGATTGTAGGGAGCATCTGTCTTCTTAGATGTGGTGTCACATTTGGTGAGATCTGGAGTCTCTCAGCACCAGTGTCCCCATCGGTTTTCTTCAGGTGATGAGATTCTGAGCTCCCACAGGATTGAAATTAGGTAGTTTTGTGTCTATCCTGACATGTATCTTCACTGTTTTTCTCTGTGTCTCTGTTTAGATGTCAAACCTTTCTCCACACAAAGCTGGAGTTGGTGAAAATATTTTTGTTCTGTGTTGTTTGGACAAAATATTGATGAAGTTGCACAGAAGTCCTCCTTTTTGTAGAAAAGTTACAATGGGACCCTACAGAATAGACAAAGCAGAATGCAACTTGGAATTCAGGGTATATTGCTGTGGTGACTGTCACAGAGCATCACCTGAACACTGTGTATATGTGTGGGACTACTGTGCAATATTTCCTCCTGTGCTATTAATAATGGATTTGTTTGGGTTTTACCTCTCCTCTTTCCTCTTCCTGTTGCCTTATGGGCTGACTCATCTCTTCTGCTGCTGATTTCTGAGGTGGATGAGCCTGGAAGTCAGTGTAAGGGTCTGGAGCAGCACAGCCACACAGAAACCTGGATCCTGTGCTCCTGGGAGCAGCTCCTAGGAAAGAGATGAGGCCTCTGGGCAGTATAGCACACTACAGGGCACCAGAGCAGTTAGCCATGATTTAATTCACTGCAATCTGCTGTTGGCATTATTCCTCTTCACACAGATCACAAGTGTCATTTTTTCTAAGGTCTTCCCCCAAGGGCCTTTCCTGATAGCTCAGACTTCTTTCTAATTGTCTTTACACCTCTTAAATGTTCTTTAAATTCTCCTCTTGGCTTTTCTCTCTTGCTTCAGTTCCTCTTTACTACCTTTTCTGCCATTCTGTCAGCCTCTGTTCTTGCCTGTCTTTCATGGTTTCTCCACTTTCTCTTTTCATTTCTGGTACCTATAAAACTGCCAACAAACAGCATTGCAGCCTGTTCTCTGCATGGAGCTGAATGTCTGGCAGCTTCTTATTGAACTTGGGGATTCCTGGCTGATTTTCCTGCAGTTTGGTATTAACTGAAGGTGTTTCTTGCTTTAGATGTGACTGCTATCATATTCGTGGTGGCAAGCAGTAGCTACAACATGGTTATCCGAGAGGACAATCAGACCAATCGGCTTCAAGAAGCACTAAACCTCTTCAAGAGTATCTGGAACAACAGGTCTGTGCATTGAAGTTTTGGTGCTCATGTCACTTAAATTAACTTGTCCTACACTACAGTCATGACTTGTGTGTGGGCCTGGCTGGGACAGATTCATTTTTCTCCATAGCAGCTCATACAGTGCCAGGGTTTGGATTTTGTCTGAAACAATGCTGATAGCACACTAATGTTGCAGCTGTTGTGAAGTGTTTGCAGAGCATCGAGGCCTTCTCTGTTCCTCACTCTGCCCCCCAGGGAATAGATTGGGGATGTGCAGTAGGTTGAGAGGGAACACACACAAACTAAGCAGAGGGGTATTTTATATCACATATTGTCATGCTCAGCAATAAGAGGGAAAAGAGGAGGTTTGGGGAGGTTAATCTCCTTGCTGGACATTGGTCTGCCCACAAGAGGTGGTGAGTGATTGCCTTTGCATCACTTGTTTTGTTTTCTCCTCTTTTCCACTTATTCTTCACTTATTAGTCATTCTTCATATATTTTTTTGGGCTTGAGCCCCAAATTGTTTTGGTTTTATTCTTTTTCCCTCCTGCTCCATCCCCCAGAGGAGGAAGGGGAGTGAGGAGCTGTGTGGTGCTTGGCTGTTTGCTGGGGTTAACCATCACAGCAGTGTGGGCTCTGTTATCCCACAGCACAGTCCAGGCTGCATCTTTGGGCACAGCTGCTCACCTGTACATTGGTGTCTGACACAGTTAATTGGAGAGAGCTCTGGAGAGATACTAATTGGTAGTTGCCATATTGAGGCTGAGGTAATTAAGGCAGGGATAGAGCAGCACTGAGAAGTGGGTGTGCTCACCTGTGTGATGGTTTAGCAGCAGAAAGTGGCCACTGCCCACACTAGAAACACAACCCAAGCTCAGGGTGTGCACACCTGGAATTACACCCTCGGGATTCAGGTATAAAAGGAACCTTTCAGAATTATTCCACCCTGTCATATGACTCTTTTCTCCAGACCTGGCTGAAGTTTCTGTGTGTGATCTGGACTGTGCCTTCTCAGAGTTCTTGGTTTCCCTTCCCACAGGTGGCTACGGACCATTTCAGTAATCCTTTTCCTGAATAAACAAGATTTGCTAGCAGAGAAAGTTTTGGCAGGGAAATCTAAAATTGAAGACTACTTTGCAGAATTTGCTCGCTACACTACACCAGATGATGGTAAGATTTTGATTTGTAATTTTTCATTTCCTTTTCAATCACATTTGTGACATTTTTGATAACTTCAGCTAAGACTTGAAAAGTCTTAAGTAGATGTAATCTCCATTGTCTTTCAGCCAAAATGTCATGTCAGATTTTAGGGGTTTAATACTGAGGGAATTCTGACTTTTGCACATTTAATCTGTTAATAAGTTCATCCTGACAAAATCCTGTGACTTTGGTGTAGACCACAGTGACATTCTGTCACAAATATGTCCTCTGCACTCCCCTTAGTTATACCTGTGTCATTTCTCTTACCTGCCAAATGCCTGGGACTGTGCCCACTCTAATAGTCTTTTGTTCTCCTCAGAACTTGCTGGTTTAAATCATGTTATGGTTTATCTCATAGTCAGTTTTGCCAAGTATATTTCAGTCATATGTGAGCAGAAAACAGAACAAGTTAAGATTTTTAGGTACTATTACCAGGAAATACCTGTTTTAATAAGATGCTTATTTTATTGTTAATCAGCAACACCAGAGCCTGGTGAGGATCCCAGAGTTACAAGGGCCAAGTATTTTATTAGAGACGAGTTTCTTGTAAGTATTTCCTTTCTTTTCGTATTGCTTACGTGATTCTTCTCAAACATAAGCTCTTCTGCACCTTCTTCTGTTGCAAAATGCTGTCACTTCTTGGCTTGTTCATATTTAACATCCACATTGCCCAAAACACTGTTACCTCTAAGAGCTTTGCTGCTGTTTCTTAGCTGCTGTTTGGGTATTTGCTTGTTGACACAGGACATAATTAAATAGCACAAGAATTGGTGAGAGTTGAGAAACCTCTCACAGAACGATGAGTGAAGTCCTGCTGTTCTTGATGGGGCCACACTTTTATTCCATGTGTTATTTCTAAAGATAGAGACTGAGCAAAAGATGCATCATCAGTCAAATATTAATTCCTTTTCATATTGCCTCTCCCATTGCTGCTCAGCTGAAGCTATAATAGACATAGTTTGTTATGTTTAATAGGTGAGCCTGGCAATCAAAATGTGCACTCACTTTAAAATGGAGCAGAACAGAATGTTGAGGGAAGTTTTCTCTAAGTGTAAAGCAGGGATAAAAGCCTTGTACAGGGAGGCAAAATCCTGCTCCTCATGGCCACGTGGACTAGGAGTTGTGTTGCTGAAATCACCAGAGCTACACAGAAATAATGGCACTTTCTTGACTTCTCATTCAGTTCTGAACTTCCCCAGCATGCAGTGACCTTCTCCCCATGTAATCCTGATCATTTTACATTTCCTGTTGTAGGTGTGAGACTGAAACCTTGTGGGTGTTTTGCCTCTTAGTTCCTCCCTCTGCAGACACAACTCCCACACCTTCATCCAGCAGAGCTTTGAGAACGTGGGGGGAGTTTTCCCCTGCCAGTTTTATTTTAACCCAGTGTCTCTCTCTGCCTTTCAACAGAGAATCAGCACAGCAAGTGGAGATGGAAGGCACTACTGCTATCCTCACTTCACATGTGCCGTGGATACAGAGAACATCCGGAGGGTTTTCAATGACTGTCGGGACATTATTCAGCGCATGCACCTTCGCCAATACGAGTTGTTGTGATGGAGAGCACTTTTTTCTGTGTTTTGGACTCCTAATTCCTTATTAAAAAACAAAACAAAAAAAAAAGAGAGAAAAAAACCCCACCCTTGCCCACATAGGGTGGAAGAGAACTGTTTGAATCTCCCATTGATTTGCACCCCTCAACTTTTTCTCCTTGCTGGACAATAGCAGCACTTCTAAGCTTGCTTTTGTACCCCTCGGACAGTTTGAGATGGCCCCTAACACTTACAAGGCCATTTCCATGAGGATTCCCTAACACTGTTATTAACAAAAAAAAAAAAAGAGAGAAAAAACCCAACCAACCAACCAAAAAAAAAAGAAATAAAAACTAATTAATTAAAATGCCCTGAATGTTGAGCACCTGAGAGAATTGGGGATGAAAAACAAATTAAACCTTACAAATTGGGGGAGAGAAAACTTTAGGTAATTTAGCACTGCTGTGGGCATAATCCTCTAACCCGTGATCTCCACTTTGTATCCCTCACTGCATCCGAGTAACGAAGGTGCCAAGTCACAGACCAAGTTTGAAGACAGAGCCTTGAGTTTGGTTCTCTGACTGTAAATGTGGCTTTGGGCGGAAATACTGACAGTTCTCCAACAGACCTAGACAGTGCAAAAACCAACTGCTACCTTTCAGGAGGGTATTTTTAAAACCAGTCTTGGTGGTCTAGAGACAACCATGGACATTTCTGAATTGAACTGCTTGTGGCCTGTGATTGCAGAAAGAGTTAACCACACACTGTTTTCAGTTTGTCCACTGATGATCCCGTCTGCTCTCAAGTCATTATCTGGACTGTAGTCCTCACAGTCTTTCCCTTCTTTTTTCTTCTTCCCTCCCCTCATTTTTTATTTTACTGCTGGATTATTATTCTTGTACAGACTGTAAAATGTATTATTTTGTACAACTTTATTGAAAATAACTTGTAGAAGATCTTTGTGCCTTGATTATGGCTGTACCTGTACAATGAGCTAAGATGTAAGTATGTTTGATTGCGCTGTACAGCTTTGTCAACCCTATCTGCAGCATTAGCTCAAGGTAGGGAGAATTTATCTGTAGTTTAGTTTTTCTGGTTTATAAAAGAAGGAAAAATACTGTTTAGTAAAAAAAAAAAAAAAGGAAAAAAAAGAAAAAAAAAAAAAAGAAAAAAGTACAAATTCTGCAAACTTAACCACTTTAAAAGTGAGGTCTTCAACAAGTGACCAGATGTTGCAGCATCATGCTTTTTAATTTTTAGCTTTAAGTCATTAAAAAAAAAAAATCTCTATCCAAATGCAAAAAACATGGCTTGTTTCTACATAAACCAAATTTTGCTACAAATTATCAATGTTAGTCTTTGGTCATTCATAGTCTTTTTTTTTTTTTTTTTTTTTTTTGGTTATTACTTCTATTACAAAAGAGAAAAAAACCACAAAAACAAACAAACATAAAACAAGGAAACCAAACAAACCAAAAGCAGAACAATAAGAGACACGTAGGGCATCATGCAGGTCTGGTGACCATCTTGAGCCTGGGCCAAACACCCACCAACCTTGGCTTGTGCTGCGTGGGCAAACGACTCCCGGAATGACAAGGTGTGCACTGCCCTTGGATTTGGCCACTGAGGTCCAGTTTCAAACAATGACCTTTTTATTTCTCTTTTAATAAAGAGATACTTTAGAACCTTTTTTTTTTTTTTTTTTTTTTTTTTTTTTTTTTTTTTTTTTTTTTTTTCTTTTTTTTCCCTTAAAGTGAAGACGTGTGGATTTTTTTTTTCTTAAACTTGAATAATTTATGCAAATTATATGCTTTAGAACAACATGTGGTACAGTTAAAAAAAAAAAGAAAAAGAGCAAAAATCACTGTAGCAATAAGAGAGCATGTAATTTTAGTAACTACTACACTGCTTTATATTTTATACCTAGGTGTTTTATGTCTCTGTGAGTGTGTTACTTTTTCATGTGTCTAAACCTACGTGTACAATTTGTACAGAGTCAGAAATTACAGCTGTAATAACACATCTAGAACAGTGTTAGCCTATATTACTCAAAACACCTTCATTTACACCCCGAAACTGATCTGGATCTTACTGCAGTGACTTTCAAAAGGAAAAGAAAAGAAACAGACACCAAAATATTTGCCTCTTTGCCTTTCACACTAACTTCCCTCCGCCCAAGAGACGCGTTAGCTTTGTGTTTTGGGAAGAGATCCAGTTAACATCAACACCACGGTGTGGTCAGGGATGTGTGTGCAGCTAGATTTGCTTCAGGTATGGGATGCCTTTCCAGTCCTAAGAAAACTGTTCAGAATTGTGAGTTTTTCATTGCTTTTGTGGCTAAAGTCTTACGAGGAATCACCTAGTCCAGAGCAGGGACACGGTGGAGCTCCTGTCCCATCTCTCCCTTGAAGTCTTACGAGGAATCACCTAGTCCGGAGCAGGGACATGGTGGAGCTCCTGTCCCATCTCTCCCTTCAGAATTCCCAGTGATCTTCCACGAGACACTGACTCACTGCAGACTGTAGCTGTGGTTCTCAGTCACCTTTTCAGGATGATCTTTCATGTTCACAGGTTTAGACAGTTCCACCTGAACTCTAGAACGTGGCCCCTCCGATTCCGAATGTATCCAGTGCCTGTAGGTTAAGGGCTGGCGTTTCCACTAGGTAAACCTGGGACACATAGTGGAAAGGAAATTCATTGTGAGCCTTAATTTTAGTTGCAGGAGCCAAAATCTTTATTTTTAGTGCCAACCCTTATCTTGTTTAAGCCTAGGAGGAGTTGGTGTGAACACCAAATGGAGAAATTGGAGAAAAACCTGTAGTGGTGTGAGGAATGTAATCTCTCATCTGAGAGCAGCAAAGCACCTCCAGTGAAAACTAACAAAATAAGCTTCTTCCTCTGCTAATGAGGACACAGAATGACAATGAGCTAGGTAAGACAGCAACAGTTTAAGGAACCTAAAGCTTTATACGAAAGGAAATGTTTAGGGGATGCTTTTTTTTTTCTTGAAGTGAGGAAAAAGGCAATTGTTTTGAAGATGGTTGAGTTGCACAAGTGTGGAGTGTGTGTGTGTCTTAATGTCTCAGTATTGCCTTTGTTAGTCTCTTTATTAGTCCATGCAGTTTGGTGGCCTGGTAAATGCAAGTCTTATTTTTAACAGCTTTCTTTTTCTTTCTTTTTTTTTTCTTTTTTTTTTTTTTTTTAAATACAAAACCATAAAGCTTTAACGCTTGCTATTTAATAAGTAACTGTGTTTTCTTCTGTCTCTAATTTAGTGGCCATAATTTGCAGTTAATTGAACCATTCCAACCTAATGCTTACCCAGATTTTCCTAGTTTTGTTTTATTTATTTATTTGAACCTCTTTGTTTTCATGATTGAGGACTGTCACTTCTGTCTCATTCATCTGTTTGGAAACTTCTGACCTTCCAGCCAAAACGTAACTCATTCTACTCAGTATTCCTCATGATGCTGAAGTGTAAGATACCTGCAAATGTAAACACTACCACTTTTATTAATAAAAGCAAATACAGTGTTTTTAGGGCACATTTTTGCATCACTGTAGTTGAGGTTGTGTCAGTATTTCCATTGTAAACCTATGGAGAGTCTCTCCCTTGGCACTAAATTGCCCCAAGCTGAACCTTTGCCATACAAAGCTTCATTTGGTGGGTTGGTTTTCAAACAGTTTCCAACACAAACTCTTGTTTCTGTTTTAAGTTCTACAGCTGTTTTGTTGGATGGGGGTTGGTTTAAAAAGAAAACAACAAAAAAAACCCTAAAACAAACCCAACAAACAAACAAACCTGGTTCAAGATTGGTTTTTTGGCACTTCTGTAACTCAGAAATGGTTTTGATTTTCAAACAACCTTCGGCAAGCCAAGTAACCTACAATATGGTCTGATCACTTTGGGTATTTTGTAAAGATAATAATAAATTGTAGAGATGTTGTGGTTTCAAAATCAGCTACTATGCATTTGCAGTAACTTCTTTCCACCCAAGAGCTGTTAGCAGTTCATACCTCAGTGCACATTCTGTGTGAGGCAGCAGAGTAGGGATAACTCCTGAAGGCTTTTTCTTTTTTAACAGTGTGGAGAGGTAAATCCACTACAGACTCAAAAAGGGATTCAGCTGCCTCTGAAAGCATCAAAACCTGCTCTCTTAGAGGCTGAAACTGGAGCTCTGTATGTTGGTAGGAGCAGACTTTGATGCAGAAGCCCAGGAAGGCATTGCTGGATCAGCTGTCACAGACAGGAGCCCTGAGGGCTGATCTTCAGCTATCCAAAAACTATTTTGACTCGTGACATCAAGGGTAGAATTTAACTACGAGTATTTCAACTGCAGAGGAAGTGCAGCTCACTCTGCTGCACAGAATCAATACCTGCAGGGTGATTTTCCAGTCAATCTATGCACAGATTGTGATGTTCATCGCTTCAGAATCCGAGCACCTTGTGACTAGTTGTGGTGTGGAATGCCTGTAAATGATGTAGGATGTTTTGTGTTCGATTTTCCAATGTTATAAGTTATGTACTAGACAAAAAAACAAAAGGCATAAACACAGGGGTACAAGAGGCTGAGCCCAGAGCTGGAGCCAGAGCCCACAACAGCTGAGTACAGTCAGTGCCTTAGTGACAAAACTGTTGGTGATTGGTGCTATATAAACATCTGAGAGTGATAAAGTTGTTTGAAATTATGAAGTTATGTAACTTATTCTGGAAGAGAGTTAAATTCTCTTCTTTCCCCAACTGTATCTAATGTGCTCTGTGTATTCCTACCAGTGCTGGCACTCACGAGACTCTTCCATGGAAAGAGATAAAATTCCTGCTAACTGTAGTGAGCAGGATCAGGGCCATAGATTAGTATTGGTGGGAATCTCACACAGGAACAGGTCCTCAGCCCTAAAATACATGTTGAGTTTATGGAACAGTAAAAAGATTGACATGCAAAGAGCTGTTTGCTGTCCAAAACAGTTCCCTTCTTGCCCAGCTTGGCATCTCTTGAGAGTTCAGCCATTGGGGGAAAATCTGTGATAAATTTTGAAGCTTCTTTGTATATAAAATAAGCTACAAAGGGGATTTCGGAAGCTCTGCTGGTGAAGGGTTTATACTGAAAAATATCTTTGGTAATTGGCAAGACAAATTCCAGGAGTGAGCCTGTTTGAACCACTTGGCTGCAGCACTGAGTGGATGTGTGTCAGTTATGGGGAGGTAAAGTGCTGTAGAATTCGTTATTTTCAACCCTGATTCTCATCTTAAAAGTTCAAGCTGCTTTTTACCCTCTTTTCAATGTACTGAGCTGAGTGAAATAGGTACAGTTTAAAGCACAGCTCTGGAAAAGTGAGCTGGGAGGAGCTGGCGAGGCAAAATAATCTCTCACTGCGTTAAACAGAAAAATAATCAGATGTGGTTTTTCTGACTTTTGTGCCCAATAAACTTAGCCTGATTCTGTGCAAAAATTAGGGAGTTCCTTAGGGTAACAACAGTGAGTGCTCACTGATACCTCTGCAACGTTGATAACTGACCAAATATGTTAGAGATAATCAAAACAATTTACAGATTTTCCTACGTTTTTTCACCTAGGGAGTCTGTATAAAAATCTTTAAGGACAGGGCAAAATAAAACCTTTAAACATTGTCCCAAGCAGAGGGAATGATCTGTTTTTCAGGGATTTTGTCTAACATGCTTTCCCAGGCTGGGCTACCAGTGGACAAATGTAAGCAAATTCAGACTTAAAACATGAATGTATCTCTTCACTTTAATTTACCCAGTTGTTTAATTCAATGAGTTGGCTAATTCTTTTTTTTTTTTTTAATACACTACTACTCAAGTTTGGAGCAAGACAAGCTTAGGACAGAGGTACTAACATGGGGAATTCTCTCAGTTCTGTTGTTCTGTTATGCAAACTGATGTTTTTTCGGCTGTGAATTTTCTGTGAATTATTACTAGTGAAGTATAGTGTTTCTATCTGTAGTTTTCTGGTATTTGCTATGACTTTGGAATTGTATCATTCTTGCAACTTAAAATGCCAGTGCTGGCAGAGATCAGAGAAAGGAGCTGCTGTGTGAGGGTTAGGAGTCACCACATCAGGCTGTGACCTAAGGCCACTGGGAAGGGAACTCATTCCAGCTCTTCTTTGCTACGTTGTC